TACTAATTCAAGTGGAGCCAGGAGGGAGAGAAAAAGGAGCAGAGCAAAACCCAGCATGTGTAAAAATCTACAAGCATTATATAGCTAAAAAAACCCTAAGTCCCTCAGTGTTGCAGTAAGGTCAAAACCTTTCAGCATTGTACCAGTGTGTCAAAATATGTCAACAAACCATCATACTGCAAGAAGAAGAATGACCTTTCAGTTCTTTATGTTTGGGCTGCCAATGAAGCTTTGGATACTGGGTATGCATGAACAGTTTTCCTAGCCACTTGACAAATGCAACTCCCAAGGTTTCCTCCAAGTCAAGTTGTTATACCACTGGCTTTCAACTCACCAGTACAACTTTTTAAACCATTTGCAATTGGAGAATATTGATCTTGTTATAGAACAGACATCCATAAACCCACAGCATAACTCCCTCTTCCCCTACCATCTACAATCAGAAAACAATTATTATTTAAACAGTCTTCATAGTAACATGTCAAACCACTTTAAACAGCTGAACAGAAAAAAGATGTATATCATTCTGATGTTCTGGTTCAGCCTTTTCTCACACATGATCATCCTTATAGTCAACGGCAAATGAATTCCAACAGAACACTTCTCAAAAAACCCTAAGAACACATCGGCTGTGTTTGTGACTGAAATACAATCGTTTGCACTTTTTCTATTTGTACTTATCTGAAATAAATACCTTTTAAAATCTACAGGACTCTATGATAATTTTACTGTGACCTGTTAGCTATAAACTGAAGTCTCAAGATCAGACTTAATGTATGAATTAACAACATATTTAATAATGAATTTAGGCTTCCTAAAGGTGTGGTTACTATTTTAAAATTACTTATGGGAAACCTGCTTTTATTTATTCTTTCAAAAAAGCAGAAGCACAGGACTAATAACATTTAGAATACAAGTAAATGGGAGAAGGAATTTAGTACAGGGATGACTTACCATTCTTATTCAAAGAAAAGATGAAATGCTTCTCTTTCACAATGTGAAATTGCCTTTAGTTTAATATCAGTGTCAAATATGACATTTTCCTTCGGTCTTCCTCACATATAGTAAAGTTTCTTTAGCTAATAATGGCATCAAGCTTTCTCCTGGGACTCTCTAGAAATTACATTCCAGAATGTACATATGCCTTAGCCAGGCTTGCAGAAGATAGAAAATGTAAATTGCTGTATTTGAGTTTATATCTTCTTACAGCAATTCACTGACAGTGCACCCACTAATTACTATTTGAACCGTGTGTTGCTGATCTCTATATGCCTCTTTGAAAACAGCAGTCATGCCTATCAGTTCTGACTAACAGACTTTTACAGCCAGGACTCTAATTTTTAATCTAAGTTAGAAAAAACTATAAAATTAAACACTGTGGAAAGAAAAAAAAAAAAACCCAAAACCAAAACCCAGCAGCATTCATTTAAATCCTAAAATAATTTACAACATATTCTCAGATCTGTGTTACTTCCTGTTCATGCTCTACAAATTACCTTTGGTCACACAGACTGTTCAACAGTTTTTATCGTTGTGGTTACAGGAAATACACCAATATAGGCCAGTGAACAATGAAAACTGTGGTATCTACTACACGTGCACAAAGCAATTGTATTTGGCACATGCAGTTGTCTTGTTTATCCAGTGGCAGTGAAAGCTATAGCCTCAGTAGACCCCACCATATTGAGGGAAGGGATTCTGTAAGTACATGAATCATTTTATACTAAGTTTGTTCAGTATATAAAATACCTTTTTTCTAAAACATCCATCTGCAAAATCAGTCTGGGAATATGCAAGACCAAACTTGCCTTTTCCTGTTTCTTTATTATTGAAAAATCTCAATATCTAAACAGCATCTTAAATTACAACTGTGGAAACCCACTGACAAGGTACACTTTGTACATTTTTAATGTGAAGCTTAATTTGAAGATGAGGTTGCAGTGCAGCAACTGCAACTGAAAATTGCTTAACAATACCATTGATGTATGAGTCATAAAAAACCTCGCTAAGCTGTCCCTGCAGAACTCGGAGTAATAAAAAGGTGTTCTTTTGCACTGAGGTGAACAGACATGGTTGACTGCATCTAGGGAGCTGTTCTGTTAAATGAGAAAGTGCCATTTCTTTCCTGTCAGTACAGACCAATTTAAGACACTCACAGATTTAGTTAGCACAGGGTACAAGATTTAATGAAATACACACGTAACAGCAAACAAACCACAGCTATGTTCAAAGCTTTCAGTCAGAATGTGTGCAGAATTAATCTTACATCTGTGACAGATGTGGGAAAAAACCTAGAAACTTTTCCAGTCTCACAACTACTTTTCAGAGAAACAATGAAAAAAATGAATGGAAAAGGTCTGAAACCTCCCGCCTTAATTCATTTCAAACTGTCTAGACATGTATTTCTATCCACATCTAACAGGCAATGTTACAGGTTTTCTCTCCAATTTCATTTCAGCTTTAAGTTCAACCAACAGATCAGGTTTACAAACCCCTAAACTATCAGTTGAGCGCTATGCTATCTGTATTGTGAATGGATGCCTCTCCAAATGATTCCTCCTTCAAGAGGAAAGGAGACACACAGGTGCAGTGAATTGACAGGGAAGCTGGTTCTCACTTAAGAGATCCTTACATAGGCTGATTAAATCATACAGAATTGATTCACAGTTTGTGCAGCTACACCTGTGTCCTTTTGTATAGTTTCAGAGAGCAATGAAAGTTAACTGTCTAACCCACATGCAATCTAATCTGTCAACATGTGTTCATTAACCCAACTGTCACTGTATTAGAACCTACAGTAACTCAAAACTCATTTCAGAAGAGGATGTGATACTGTTAGTTTGGCCAAGCAGGACCAAAATTAAAACTAACAGGATTTGTTCTTTAAAAAAAAGGCCACAAGAATCTGCCTAATTTCCATAGTTAACCTATCATGGAATTCTGAATTTAGGGAGTAACAAATCTCACTAGGAGGTTTCTAGTTTTCTTTATATGAATGTAAAGTAACTATATTTAAGATTCAACAATTTTTGTACTTGATTTCAATATGAACAGTTCTAACAAAAATTTGGCAAAATCTCAAAGCTACTTCCAAAACTGTCTTATTGATTCACATGTCAATTCAGTCTAGATTTTGCAACATCAGTGGTACTTGACTAACAGCTCAGTGAGAAATGTTATTCTATTTTTGAAGTTGCAATATTAATTATTATATGGTAAAATTAAAATAAAATTAGCTATGTCTTGGTTTCCTGACAAAAGCATAAGTTTATTTCAGAAGTGTCAGAATCAAATGGTACACGTTATTCTCAATCGTTTTATACATTTTATAGCTCAAATCAAAATGAGGATAGTCATTTTGTTCATCACAAAAAAAGACAGAAACTACAACTTCAACTTTGCAAAGGCAATTTTACTGCAGACAACAAATGGATAGGTGCCTTCAACCCACTTGCCTACTCAACTTTCACCCCATTTCAACTTGGTGAATATCTTTATGCTCATGTTACCGATTTAAAATTCACTTCTTAGAGACACTTTCCTCTGATACCATCATGGATCCCTTCAAATGCAACCCTTCTCAGAAAATATTCCAGCTAGTACATCTAATGGCCTCCTCCCAGCCCGAGCGGCTCCATCACCTCTTATTTACACTGATATGCAAGTTCAGCACCATTTGCATCAGCATCTTTCCTGCCATTCTCACCACTTGCCTAGATACTGTATATATTCAAATGTCTTCTTAAGTCTTGCATTATGGTTATATGTTTCACAAATTCTTTTCTACTACTTTCTTGCAGTATACTATCTTCATCCAACAACTGACAGTCTTCCTGATGTTCTCATAACCTCGATTCAAGCTGTCTGGGACTGTCAAATAAGAGCAGGTCTTTCTCATGTCAATGAAGAATGTTGCCACAGAGCATAATTCCAAACTCTGATGATGTTATTCTCAAGATTTAGTTTCCCTTTCTTTGCTGTCTCCTATGGAATCTGCTTTTAAGGTATTTCCCAAGCTAAGGCTAGCTATTTTCACTTTGGCATTTCTCATATTCAGCTGAAATATTAACAGTCACCAGACTAGACAATCACTGTTGGCACACAGTCTATTTGTTGCATGTTCACATGTTTGTGCCACCTTCTCCACTGTCTCTTCAGATTTCATTGATATTCTCTTGTGAACACTGAGCAGACATCTAAATTTATGCTTTTAAAATTCCTTTATTAAAGCTTCCATTTACCTCATTACTACTTTGCTTAGGGTTCCACCATACAAAAATGGAATTGAAAACGATGCATCTTGTTTAAGATTTTTTTTTTAAGAAAAATCCTCCACTGAGGAAGCTTCTAGTACCATGGAAAGATATATAAATATATACAATAATGACCGTTGTAAGTAGAACTATTTGACCAATCTTTAAAAGAAAAGATCTTTGAACCAATACCATCAACAAGATCAAAAATTCTCTCTGGCATAACTTATTTCTCTCCTTCTGTTCCTGCATATACTTACTATATGTTTTTAGCTTGAAGATAATTGTTATTGCTGCTTAAAACACTGGTAACATACAAAAAAATACTTCATTAAAAAACCCCAGTGCAACGATATCGACCTTGATAAAATGACAATGAGCAATAAAGTTCTTTACACACAAAGTGCACTTGATTAGACTACGAAGATTTTGTAACAAATCTGGCACATTGCTGGTATTAAAAAAACATTACAGCATAATCTTTCTTTAAAGTCAGGTACTAAAAAATGTGACATATAACTTCTGTACCAAAGTAACTTTTTCTGTTATCTAACATCATTGTAAAATCACCATATAACTCTATTGCATGTTAACAATTATGATGTGATTTTTTTCAGAAATATTGTAGCATTCTAATCTGACATACTAATTAATGACATTTAAAATGCCAGATTAGTAATGTTTTGGTTTTTTTCCCAATAACTGTTTTTAAAACTGCATCTATAAGGAAAAATAAAAGAAAAGTACCTGTTCCAGTAGCTCCAAAACTGGTCCTGCAAGTAGGCTTGGTGGCTACTTTCATCACCGAATGAGGCTTTGCTTTCAATCCAGTGAATTATGTGTCCTTCAACAGCTAGGGTGACAGCAGAAAATAAACTGGACACTGAAAATCACACTCAACAGCCTGTAAGAATGTGTTTGGGAATATCCTATTTATCCCCAATCTACCATAAAATTCATGTTTGCAACAGAGTTACGTATTTGTAAATATTTCTCTCAAATATGCACATAGGACATTTTTTTAAAAAAAGTACCAGAAAATATTCTTACAGATAATTGTATCAAGTTCAGTTTAATTATATCATGTTCTGGATATTTACATTTATTCTAACACAGAATGTAAAAAGAGACTAGATTGAGGTGCAATTGCATCCTACTTTCACCCTTACTTTGCTGGAAGGAAGTTGTCAGGTAAGGAATTGGAAATTTCTGGTGAATAACAAGAAGTTACCTAAGCTGCTAAAGACAGAAACTTATCACCAAGCCAGAGTGGAAGGTGTGAGAATGGTGATGAAGTTTCTCATAGATATAGATCCGCTTCCTTACTTTTGCAAAGTAAGTAATGCTTCACCAGAAAGAAGTTAGGAATATGAAGGCTTATATGAAAAACTGTAATTTTGAATTTCTCTTTTTTTCAGTGCCTGTGGGATTTGCTCTGGTTCATGTCCTTCCTCACTTTTTGTGGGAGTCAACTTCTAATATTAAGAACAGTATCTTTTTTTGGTAAAAGTATTCTCTGAAATTGACAATCTAATTTTGCAGGAGAAACCATGAGAATCACTCTAAAAGATCTTTTTTTTTTTTTTTTTTTTTTTCCAGAAAAGGTGATTTGGGGTATCATTACTGAGGTCTTTTAAAATGTTTCCTTTATTTTGTGTTGCCTAGAATATTCACATCCATGATGTCTTAGCCTAAGTTTGACCTGGGATGAGGTACTCAAAGAGCACACAGACCCAAAAGCACAATACAGAAAAATTAGAGGAGGCTTTGGCAGCACGACTGACCACAGACTGTAAAATTACTCAGGAAATCTGGGTAACACACTCATGAAGTCACCACACTAAGTTCTGTATGCCACCACTACTCTGCTAACCAAGTTAACTTGTGTAGGCCTATACTACATTCTTTCCCGACCCCCAATACCTCCCCACCCCAGGAGATATAACATGTGAGGCACAAACTGTGTGGTCAGTTAAAAGTGATTTCTAAGAAATAATTAGCCTTCCTAGCTTTGTACTGCATCATGAAGAAGAGAATGCAAGCACTGCCATACATTAGTTCAGATTGAACAACAGGTAGAAAATGGCTTCCTGTCAATCTCAAGTGACTGAAATAATTTGGAAAAACGGAATGCACTATCAATATTTGGATTTTTGGAGACAAATCCATGCAAACAAATTAATGGCTATTTTTAACCTTCTTTCTAATAGGATAATATTACAAACCCAAGAAAATTCTTCTGGGTGTTTTCCAGTTTCCTTTCTCAAGTATTAAAAAAATTAGCTCCATCTATTTGCTTTTCTAGTTTCCATTTAATTGGGCTCCTGAATAGCTGGGAAATAACCTTATGTGTTTCTAATGTAAAAGTGAGTATCTTAATACCAGGCACGTATTGTGTATATTGTAGTCCACAGTACTGAGGAATCTTACCAATGTGAATAACTATCTGTAGGGCAGGTGCTAAGAAGAGGGAGCCAGGCTCTTTTCAGTGACAGGACCAGAGGCAATGGGCACAAACTGAAACACAGGAGGTTCCTTCTGATCATCAAGAAACACTTTTTTACTATAAGGGTCACTGAGCACTGGTGCAAGTTGTCCACAGAGGCTGTGGAGTCTCCATCCCTGGAGATATTCTAAAGCCATCTGAAGATGGTCCTAGGCAACCAGCTCCAGGTGAACCTGCTCGAGCAGATGACCAGCAGAGGTCCCTTCCAGCCTCAGTCATTCTGTGATTCTGTAATTCCATGCTAAATTTAGACTTGATAAAAACTCAACCATTCCCTCATCCCCTCAAGTCCTTGGTAGCTTCCTGAGACCCTCCACAAATAAGGAGTATGGAAGTGAAGGAGTAGAAATTAATTGAAAACTCTCGAAGTGTAGCTTCACAAGAGTGAATTGCAGATCATTAGGATGCCATATCTCACAGTTTCAAATATAAAATGCTACAGTTACAAGCATATTTTTTATTTTGTACATATAACCTCTTATTAACATCAGTACCGTTTTTGTTTTTTGGAAACATGATTAGGAATACAAACATCTGTAAGCTAAGGAAAGTCTGTAAAAACTTTTCCGAAGGCTCTTATATACATCACTGCTTATCTACTGGATAACAGATTATTTGGCTGACAGATAGTATCTCAAGTACTTCTGAGTAGTGACACATTTTATTGTACATACTCAAGTCCTTATACCAGTGTACAGATCAGTTATCTCAGTAAGAATTCCAACTGCTGTCAATATGAAGAACAAAAAACCTAGTCATGTGTTTGACTTTCACACAGTGCTTTCAGCCTTCTAATTTTCCTCTGATAGACACAAAAGTAGACATCTGCATAGCCAGGTGCTGCGTTCTATAGAGGCAAAGCAGAAGCCTTTTGACATGTAAGTCAATTTACAAAAGGTGATTAATTATACTTTACACTTGGACAACATGGATGCTTTTTCTGCCATGGCCCAGCCACTAGGTCATCTGATTATCTTCTCACATGGCCTCAAGACCAGAAAATGTAGATGAACTTCGACATGACCTTTATACCAACATTAATTTCTTCTTGCTTTGCTACGCAGGCTTTTAAAAAACAATAGAGAACTGCAGAGTTGTATTTAGACGCAAAGTGATGGCAGAAGAATAACTGCACAATGACAAACCTTTACGCAATGACCTATAGGTGGAATGTTAATACTCTTAAGACTGCTTTGAACTGATTAGGTCTAGAAGTTTAAGACAATTATAGGTATTTCAGAGTTCAGTTCATAGAGACAGTGTGCAGTGCAGGCTAGAGAGAGCAAAGATTTGGGGGTTCTTATTCTTGCTTGGGTTTTTTCTTTCTTTTTGTGATAATGAGACAAAACTATGCAGAGACCTAAGAGGAAACACTGGTTAATAAAACTTATGATCAAACCTCTCTGACCCAAACTAGAATTACTGGGTAGCAACTGAAATTACTTAAAATTACTGGGTAGCTACTGAAAAAAGAGACTAATTTGTAATATCCTATAATATACTTAATTAGCCATCGTATTTTAGCATGAACACTTCTACACAAAACAAAATAATAAAAATTCTTTTAAAAGACTTACCTACTGGCACTTCTAAAATAAAGTCTGGTGTTTTGTCATAACCCTTTGCACGGAGCTGATCTTCAGCTATACATAAAGAATAGGAACTATTGTTTATAAAACTATTCTATTAAGTATACAGCAGCATAATTAATTTTATTTTAAATAAGAGTGCAAGAATTATTAATGCAGTCATACATATCTTTCTTATGCATGCAATGCTGTGTCAGATTAAATGAACCTTTGTAGAAAACCTGAAGCATGGATATAAAAATGCTTCTTTGTCATCCCTGCATTTTTATGTCTTCATTATAAACATCATTAATTCAAGCTGTCATACAGTATTTTATAACCCCCAAATATTCAAAATAAAGAGGTATATTTGCTGATTAAAAGAAGAGTCTGCCCACATTAGGAAGCATTAAGATTAATTCTACCAAAACCACAAATGTAGATATACTGTAGCTACCTTCCTGGTTTTAATCTTAGCATAAAGTTGTTAAAAAAGTGAACAAGAAAATCCTTTTCCATAAATTTATTAAAGGAGAGAGAAGCCACAATTTTAGATTCTCTTGCATCCTGCATTCTATAAAATTTGTCCCATTTCAGAACACACAAAGATTTAGAAATTCTGCTAACATTATTTATACAACTCTCCTGATTACAGTATTAGAGCTGAATATTTAAAAAAAAAAAACAAACGAGTGAGCACGATAAAACCACAAAAGACAAAAGATGCTCCCTTCAAAAAAAAAAAAAAAAAAGCCCAAGTAAGCCCTTAATATTTTCTAAACTATTGTCCTTGATTTCCGATACCATTACATTGGTATTTCTGAAACACCATTTCTCCATTAGAATTTGGAGTGACCTGGTCATTCAATTCCAGGCATGGCTTTCTGTCTTCACCCAAGCTCAACTAATGGCACTACCTAGTAACAAGTAAGGCTGTGTAGCCCCTTAACACCTACTGGGCTGTTGACATTGTCATGCATCCCATTCGCCTTTCTACATCACCTTTGATTAAAATTAATGGTCCATTCTCACTGTTGGGTAGCTTATTTCCAATCCATTTATCAGGTTAGGACAGTAGTTTCATGGCCAATGTTCAGAACTCAGTTTTTGAATACTTTGTGCATATCCTGAAAGGTCAGCAGTTTGAGTCCAAGTAACATTTTCATGACAGGAAAAACATACACTCTTAGAAATCAAAATATTTTGAAAGTGTCCAAAGCAAACCTCCTTTCTCATTGAAGAATGTAAGTCTGAAGTAGTATTTTTATATAGTGAACTCATACTGAAAGTGGAACAGGAGTAATTTTGGACATTTGTACGTTCACTTAAGTGTAAACCTTGGTAGCTGTTTAATCTTCTTGATAGCTGTAGTATTTCTTTTGAACTTTGAGAGTATTTCTTCACTGTAAGCACACTGTATTATAAATACAAATCCTTGCAATGCAACACTTCATTATATTACCTGATCAGCTATTAAACTTTTCTAGGATTTCCAGACAGACTTGGTTGTTGGCTATTTTTTCAAACTTAGATTGTCAGGTATATGGATAAAAGATGTTAAGATTAACAAGGTTCTAATTTAGATTCTAATTTAAATAGAACCTATGAATAGAGAATTTTATGCCATAACATAAAAATGAATTAATGTTCTATGTAATCTCTTAATCTTGATAAAAATTTAAAAAAATCCAGTTTTATCTGTCACCCACTCTTAGTTGTTTAAAGCAGTCTAGAAAAGACATTAAGATGTCCCAGCTTAAATTTTCATTATTTAAGAACACACAAATAGCATTAGGAAGTTCAGTGTTTTCTTTCACATTTAACAAATTCTAGCATCACAAATTCAGGGAAATGTACCTTAAAAAAACCCACTGAAAATCAGGACAGATGTAAACACATTTCCTGACAGTTCAACTTGGCAGCTTTCTGAGCAGGAGTTTGCATCGGTATTATTTTAAAATTCTTCAGCAGATTCTTTTTTCAAGGGTGCCCAATTACTTTTAAAATCATCTGATACTTACACATGGCTTGAAAAAAACATGTTTTTTGTTTTAAATCTGTTTCTGAATGTTTTCAGTTGGCTTCTCCTAATATTTAGTACAGTGATAAACATTGGAAAAAACGTTAAAAACCATGTTTACTACTGATGTGAGTTGTCTATCATGCGCAGGAACATAATTATATAATACCATCTCTTCAAGTTTTTTGAAACTTTATAATTTTTTGAGGAAAAAAAAAAAGAATTGCAGGAACTCCCCACAATCACCATAAACTTTTTTTAAAATCAAAACCCCACCAAAAGAAAAGGAGTTCTAGCTTTTCAGCCCAGGTATGTTTCAGATTGGTCCAGAAGCTACAGATGTAGCATCTCACATTTAAAAGATCGTTTAGCTCTTGCATGGATTAAGAGAATAATTAAACTGCCTGAAAGTCAGCCCACAGCAGCTTTGACAGTTACATTTACGCATCCTCAGATTTGACAATTATGTTGAAACACCCCTAATAAGTAGTTTGTCTACAGACTCCTCATTAATTTAGATTTCCAACAAAACTGAAGCTTCATCTTTACCATAACTTCACACTCAATCATAACCATTTAACACATCATTGTTCTTATACTAGTCTCTGGATATAACAAAAAAATCAAACATCCTGGTGGTGTATGAATGCGCAGCAACTGCAAATTTTAGATTACAGCAGAAAACACGGATCAGATTTCATGATTTATATCCAGGCTACTACTGAGGGACATTATGGTGGGAACCAAAGGAGGATAAGATTCCAGACAAAGGTCAGTACCTCCCCTTATAGCTAAAAGCTTTCCTAATATATTCATGGCAAAGATATAAAGAAAATAAAGATCCTATATAGAACCTAGAAATTCCTGGCATTTCAGTATGACAAGTGAACTCTTAGGCTGTTCTGAAAGAATGCTTCCATTGATCATTTTAATCTTTGGCAAAGTGATAAAGACTTGAGAACTATGTTTTTGCTGAAGGGAGGATGTGGTACATGACGTGCTTCTCATAAACAGTGGATTAATAAAATGCAAAGCCCATTAGTTTGTATAGGTTTCCAATCAATTTCTGGGTGACTCTGAAGGTGTTACTTCTGATCTGCAGGCTTTGAAAGCTAACTGCTCTAGAAACAAACAAATTATGTCCTGGACCTGAAAAGCTGTTTCATGCTCCCAGACTATACTCAGGGCAATTTATATTCACTGTGTCCTTTGACTGTGCCTTCTTCTGTAATAAGACTCTGTTGCTGAGGTGAACATAGTTGATACAAAAAACCTTAGTACTCTTGAAGAATAGTACGCTGATATGGAAATGACAAGAATTCTGTTTAACACATGTTAAAAAATAATGGAATTGCAACTACAGCAATCTAAGTCATAAGCCATCTTCAAAACTGGAATGCAGTCTTACCCATAGCCTAACAAAGCCTGAATTTGTTGACCTATAGGAAATACTGTCATCTCTTCTGTTTCCCTGAGGTTTTCTTCAGGCAGTTTTGGAAGTAATTTTTCAGAAAGGAAAGATTTTATTGTGAGGAGTTCAGTAGGGTTCATCTTGCAGATACTTAGGAAAAGCTGGTTTGGTTTTTTTTATTATTTTTTAAAAATAATCACACCTAGAACCTGAGACACATGCAATGCACAGAAATAATAAATACAACCACTTAACATATTGTAAGCCATGACTAAACAATACTTCAGTATACATAAAATATAAAGAGTAAATTAAGCTCTCTCATTTATATCTTTATATTCTGAGTCAAACCATTCTAGATATTTTGATTTGACAGCACAAATTTCTTAGGGCTTACTTCTAAAGACAAAATAAATGCTTATCCAAGGTCATGAAACATTAAAATTTAAATCTGATTTGTGTACTACGCAGGCTTGCACAAGCCAAATAAAATGAAAATCGTTGGGTTGAGGATCCATTAGTGAGTCATCTAGTCCATTCCCTTGTATCGTGACAGGATTGATTTCATTACCAGCTTTGATGGATGAGTGTCAAGTCTAGCCTTGAATTTTTCATTGAAGGTGATTCCATAACCTTCCCTAGCAGTTTGTTTTATACTTACTGTTCCTAGAACTGTTTAGTATTTTAACTCAACATAATTTTTGCAATTACAGCTTAAGCCTATTACCTGTATCTCTGCTCTCAGGAAAGTAGGAAAAAATACCTCCTCACATTTTCATAGTGTCATTTACAAGTTTGTATGCAATAGTTACTCCTGAATTTTTTTCTCTAAAATAAAAGAGCACATTGACTCTGGTCCTTAATCATATGGACAAATCTTTAAAAAAAATCTTAATAGTCTTTCTAATTTCTTAAATTTATTTAAGGTTTCCAAAATCTTAACCTGAATCTGGCTTTAGAAGAGATGTTTCTGGTAAAACCAGCAAAATTCCCTGATCACATAAATTTAATACAACACTCACCCATCAACAAAAGACATCATTTCACTTTGCTGTTGTCTTAACACATAGGGAATCCAAGATTTAAGAAGCCACTGTTAAGTTTATTATCGCAGTAAGAGAAATGACAGTTTAAACAGTAATCATTGTTTTAGTGGCATCCATATACAAGAAACATAGTGTAGGCTAAAAGAAAAAAACGACAATAACTTCCTAACTAATTAATCCTGAAAATAACTTTAAATATAGGATTGTGAAAAGAGTACTTGCATTGGTTGGGAGGCAGGGGGCAAAAATTCAGCAGAAACTGCAGAGAAAGCTAAATGAGTGACTCCTCTAGCAGTTCTTTAATACATAAAGCGTTTTGAAGCTAATATTTCTTATGCTTCCTCCTAAGTCTCATAAGGCCTAGATTATGGCTAATATCTCATGACACCAAAAGTAATACTGCAGCAGATATTAAAGCATTTTTTTCAGCTACTTATTCTATAAAATATTAATTGCAAGCCTGTGCATGTGCTGTATATATAGGGTATTAGGCAACTGAGTTCCTGCTCATTCTAAATCAATAAAAGATAACATGTACAGCATCAATCATTTTTTACTCTTCCTTTACTACCTAATACAGAGTGTTGAGGCTTAGTTTTTTTTCTTAAGTAAACAGTCACTGAAATATTTGAAGTTAAGGGTTCATGGGCTATTACTCTATTACAGAGTCTTACCTATGAAAGAGAGATTTTTTTCCAAAAGCATTTCTCGTAGCAAGACTTCATGCTCATGCCCAATCGCACTGATAGCTTTAGGTTAAGAAATGGAAGATTACTTGGGAAAAGAACCAACTTCAGAAAAACATCATGGGTAAAGTAATTCATGATAAAATTTATTTGCTTTCATCTGTATTTCAGAAGTGATCAGTGATTTGAATTCTAAGTCTAGAAATTCCTTACAGGGCTTTTCAGAGGCATTTAGCGCTTTTTGAAAATCAGACTACTGTATATCAGCACACATTTTACAAAATTAAGACCTGTTATACTCTATTTATTCAGTATAAATAAGGGTAGTATTTCCATATTTGTTTTATTTGCTCTCCAAATCTAAAAAAACAAGTATGAGCTTAAAACATGCTGTTAAATACCTTTTAAATTGCTCTTTACTGACTAGTGTATCAATTCTCTAAATTCAGCAAAGAATGAAATAAAGTGTTTTATTCTTTATATTCTGAAATTGATAGGCACTACATCCATCCGAAACATCTTACTGTAACAAAACATCCTTTTAATTGATTTTTCAGAAGCATGAACTAATGTCAGGGAAAGATGAAATAATATTTTATAGTGAAGTCCTTTTCACTTCACTGACGGCCTGTTGATCCAATGTGCTATTCTTAGCAATATGTAAAAAAGTCACCACATCAAATATTTTAAATGTATTCTCCTGGAGGTCAAAGTTCTATTCCGGAAGCTTTTAAGAAGAATCTTACGGAACATCATGATAAAGGATCTTACATTAAAAAATTAAATTCCTAATTCTGTTTAGAATAACTTTGGAAAACTTAAAACTACAGATCACCTTACCATTAAAGTTAATTACTTAATTTATATCAATACTTTATGCTGAACAACAAAAAACCTAATTGTATGGAATAATGTCATATATATATATATATATATATATATACAGTTTTTATGAATTGAAACTACATAGTATGTTAAACTCTACTAGCAGTTGCAGAACAAAAGGGGCAAACAAAGAACGGCAAATATGTAAGAAAAATACTGCAAACAGAATTTATAATGCACCATAAGCAGAAACACTTAGACTTAGTCTATAATAATACCTGTTATTGATGTATGGCAATGACCATGGGGCAAAACTTGTAAATAACCTCACAAGCCATTTTCTACTCATGCAATCTAGCAGCCTAGTTTCCCGTAAGCATCTGAACTATTACTGAAAAATAGCCTCTTGGCATTTACAAAGAGGTTGACTTCATACTTTAGTCCATGCATATATAATTAGATAGTTATATTTAAAATCAATATGCAATCCTTCAGAAGACATTATGCTTTTAAAACCTTAACTTTAAATTGATTTTTAACTATTTTATGCACCTCAAAATTAACATCTAATTCAGCAATATACTTGCAGATAATGCACTCAAACAGCTTATTATTAAACTTTTCTGCACCAAAATGGAATTGAAAAACTCCTCATTATTCTCACTGATGTCACTGCATATATCCAATAACTTCACTTGAACCAGAAACTGACAGGGATAGAAGAGACATTTTTAGACTGCAGGCAAGTTATTCTTAAAAACTCTTCATAATTCTACATGTGTTATTATTACTTTTAAACATAACACTTTCATAAGACTATAGCCAGATTGTCCACCAACAAAATATTAATCTTAAAAATCTGGATATGAAAATTAGTGATCAACAATCTTTTAAAAAGTATAATTTATTAGATTAAACCACTTTCAGAGAGCTGTGTTTAGTGCTGAAGATAAGTCTCAATGAATACTTAAAATGATGATTAAAACCACAAAATGCAAATACAATTAGAACTCCATCCTGCTGCTGTTAAAAGGGAGAAGGGCTGAGTCCGTAGATAGTTGGCAAGTATTTCTAGTGGAAAAAACATATTTTTAAGGGGTGACCACCAGAGGTATTACAACTACAAGTGTTTTTCTTGCATAAATAAGCATCACTGTAGCTCTCCTATCCTGCAACTGTACAGTAAAATTAAGATCTTCCCCCAAACTGCATACAGAGGTTTATGCGAGGATTCTCTAGGGCTTGGGCGGGAATTGCCTTGCTAGCCTGCTCAGTGATAGCAGGCCATGATTTTGAAATTGTTCCTTGATAGCAGACTGAAACAGAAGAGCTACGCATTCAAGACTTTATTAAAACAGATTTAAGGTCGCAGTGACCATTCTGAACGTATTATAATCTTAGTCTGGAATACTCAGTATTGCGTGGAGTTCCCCCAGTATTCTCACTAGATACTGAGGATCTCTAATTAACCATTTCAACACTATAAAAGAAAAATAACTTTAAATACAAGCTACATAGGGTTTTTTCTAAAGCTAGCCTCATTTCCTTTTAGAAGAGACAATAAAAGAACTGCACTGGATGTCAGATACGAGTATAAAAGTACCAATTGCTCAATCACACCTGAATTGCACTTGAAAACATTCCAATTAAAACTCATATTCATAACAAAGCAATGCCATAATGGTGAACACTATCTGTGCAACTTATTAATTTAATCACAGAATAGTTGAGATTGGAAGGTATCTCCAGAGATCATCTTAGTCCAACTCCAGCACTCCAAGAATGGTCAACTAGTCTTAATAGAAAACCAGACATGCATTTCAACTAATCAAAACCAAAGAGGTTCAATCAGGCATATGAACATGTAGCCACCAAACTGACAACTTTCCGTGGTCCATCTGATTTTGTTAAACAGTGTAAGAGAAAGCTCTGCAGTGACCCTCTAGCTGATTGAATGTAAAACAGAGGAGTATGAAACGTGTTTTGTGAAGCAGAACTTTATGTCAGGTTAAAGCTAGACACATCTCTTCCACACAGTCTAAGCTCGTCAATTGTGCACCTAAAATTTTATGGGAAAGGATACTGTTTGATGCAGTCCACCAGTGGTCCATAACAACAGTCGTTCACAGTACACTGCAGACAAATAAGAGAAGTAGTATAGCGATGGGCAACTACAAAACCATTATAGTTAAACAGTATCTTAAAAATAGTAATTACTTTTCTTCAAAAAGGCTATCAGATGCTGTTCAGATTTAATCACAGAAAACAAAAACTGCATGCTTTTATTCACTATAAAAGCAAGCTATTAAAAAGTGAAATGCTCCGCTCACAAATACTGCACTGCCATTTATGGTGCACCCTGACCTCACTGATAGTTTACGATGACAGTAATTAAATGAGGTTTAAAATCTTTTACTCTGCTAGGCAGATAACAGCATTGCCACAGGAAAAAAACAAAAAAGACAAAAAAGACAACTGTGATTAATACCTGATAGACTTGATTTGCTAGAACTCCATCTGGAATCTGAGAAGGGTCCCGTAGCATACTATTTATGAGAGTTTTGGAGGCTAGAGGAATAAAGAATAAAAACATACAAAAAAAAATCTGTTAGCTCAGTTATCCACTTGGCAGGAGAAGACACATATTTTTATAAGGAAAACATTGATTATGTTGACAATTTTGAAAATTATCCAACCAGCAACTACAAACTTATACATTTGTAGCTACTTATCCATTCTGATTCGATTAACTCTAAAAGTCTTGAAACACCAAAGGATTTTATTAGCACAGGGTGAAAGCAGTCCCTTGTTTACTTATTCAGTGTCACTGGACAGTTTGTGCTTCAGAAGCACCATGCAGCTCCTAAGCAAACTGCTTAGTATAAAGAAACTGTAACTCAAAATAACCTCCATATCCTATGAGATTTAAGGAAGAAGATATGTAAAAATTCAAAGCAGTCTTTAAAAACAATGCTTGGTCTAAACAATCTTAAGCACTTTATAGACTTGTTTCCCACTTAGTATTTTTCAAATGTATTTATTTATTTATTTATTCAGTGTTGACACATTTATCTGACTGTATTTAAAAGCTGGCAAAAGGCTTTCTGTGCTATTTTTGAATAGATAAATCTAAGACATGAAGAAATCAGAAGTGAATTTAGGACTATTTATCAGTCTTTTCTTCAATGATATTGATACTACAATGAAAAAAATAACATAAGACATGCCTTCCGTTTATTTTTAAATACATTCCTTGCAAGTACTAGCATTATTTTCTCTCCAGATGCTTAATCTGGGTAGTTGCATATACCAGTTAATTACTACTATAGTAGTGGAAAGACTTTATTCTAGAATAAAGCCTTCTAAAAAAATCAAATATTTTATTTTACAATTTCTCAGAGAGAAAACAACACTGCTGCATAAGCTGCCTCCTTCCTGGGAAGAACTACTGATAGAGTTCAGCTGGTGGTATATTTATACCATTGAATCCTTAAGTGTAGACCAGACTCGAGCCTAGCAAGGTTCCCTGCTTTGCCAATGATTTCCTGTATGTCTCCAGGCAAATTCCTTTAACCTGGGTGTGCTTCAGTCCCGTAAACAAAGTGAAAAACTACTCCTTTCCTGTTCTTCATCTGTTTTTCCCCAACTCAGAGCCAAAGCTTTGTCAGTCTCCTCAGTGACTGAATCGAAAGCCTCAGATGACACTGTGAAAAGAATTCCTGGAACCTGTGACATGAAGGTATCTGCCACATAAGGAGCAATGCTACTATTAATGAATGTGTGTAAATGCTCTGCTGAAAGTAAAGGACACATTTTAATTTTCTCCCCAAATGTATCCGGAAAGCATCAACACTCAATTGAAATCAGTATTTTCAAGAAAGTATTTTGTTTAGAAAATTATACCTTAATGCAAAGGAATATAATACCCACAATGAATTTAAAGGCTTTGCAAGAGCTACGAAGAATGTCATCATCAAAGGGAAGACCAAACATTTGTGAAATTTTTTTTAAAAGAGATTGAAATACTAAGCCAAAACACTTCTAGACACTATATAACATATTTCATTCTTCTCATATGAAATAGGCATTATTTTTATAAGTGAACAGTAAGAATAAACAGGCATTTTACCTCAGATTTTGTACACCATTAAAATTGCATTTTGCACACAGGACAAAAGCTTTGAAAATGTGAACCAGAAGGTGGTGTATATTTACTTTGTTAATACTAAAAATAAAAAAAATAGATTTTTGGTAGGTAGGAATAATACACAAGTAACAGTTTGCCAATACTGAATAACGAAGAGCGTAACTGAAGGAATACGGAGTAGAATTCACTGTTTTGAAGGGCTACTGATTTCAGTATCATGATTTGATTATGAAAAAAATTAAGCTATTTTATGACTGATCAAAACCCAGCAAAACCCCACAGATTCACATTAGGGAAATGTTTAACTGGACACTACTTTGAGTAATGAGCTACAGGTGCAAAATAAATTTCCTCTATTTCTGAGACTGTCAACTTCAGTTTCTCACTTAAGGTTACCAGACATTCTATTCTTTACCTATACCAGAATAATAATGAATTCACATACTGGATTTTATATTATGCTGATGTCACATTGGTTCTACAAGGTTTTAAACTAAGCCTCCTTTAATAGAAAAGGTGTCAAACAAACCCAACTACTATACTATCTTTCAATAAATTATCTTTCTTATATAAACTTTATCTGCTTATGTAATGTCCTGCAAAATTAAAAAAAAAACCCTGCATATTGTTAATTTTGTATTACCTATGCAGCTAAGATAAGGTATCATCAACTGTAATTCTTTTTTTGGAAAGCCAGTTACTGTGGTGTCAGCATACCAACAGGCTGATTGTGTAAAAAACAAAACAGCATGGAAGTGCTAAGGTTTTTATATGACGAGTAACGCCAGTCAGAAAATAAAGTTTACTGAAACATTATTCTTGCGTAGATCTCTTCCTTACTTAATCAACAGTAAGATGATTCTGGTGAATATTTAAACAAAAGCAGGTCATCTTCTCTTCTTACTCAAGCTACTATACTAC